TTACACTGTCAAGGTCCAGAAAAGTATGAAAAGCATCGTCAGAATAGTCCATCTGCCATCAGTGGTTCAACCGTAACGTTATGAAGCGACGAGAATACTTTTTGTACGCGAAGAAAACAAAAATAACGACTTTATTCAACAATTTGTCTCCTCTGTGTCTCTCCGCATCACCGTAGCGCCATTTTGGAGAATATCCTCTGAACGCAAGCAGCGTACATTCTTCTGTGTCATTCGCGCTGCACGGATGCGCTGTTTTTGTTCAAATCAAAGCGTAAATACACGTAGAAAACGTATCCTTGTGTCCCGGCTGACACAGAAGAGCGTATCCCAGGTATCATACATCAAACATCTTGTGACCCCTATGTGACTTTTTTTTTTTTGCATTGTAATCTTTGCTCAGTTTGCTGAACAAAGTTGTATCCTCCTCTTTCACTCTTTTCTGGCTATAAATGGACATTTGTTTTTATATGCATTCTTCAGAGTGCAAAGGATTTGAATTTGCCTTTCTTTGTGTGTGTGTGTGTGTGTGTGTGTGTGTGTGTGTGCGCTTCCGCAGAATTATTCCAGGAGGTGGTGACTGGCATGTGGTCTGCTTGATACAGTGGATGTGCATGTCTGAACACAGCCGACATCAAGAACAAACCCTGAATCACACCAGCACACAGAACTGAACAAACTCAAAGCACACTTTACTGGTAGAATCTTCTATATTAGCTTCATTTATTTTGCTCTTCCTTTTAACAAAATAAGATTTGCATAATTTAAGTGTGTAGATACTCTGTACATATTTACACTATTTTTTTATGGGTTTTTTTACATTTATTTGAACAAAAACACAATAAAAACAGTGAAATTGTGAATTATTATTACAATTTAAAATAACTGTTTTCTGTGTGAATATAATGTAAAATGTTATTTATTCCTGAGATTTAAAGCTGTTTTGTTTTTTCCTTTGCCATCACAGGAATAAAGTACATATTTATTAAAATAGAAAACAGTTATTTTCAATTTTAGTGAAAATAATTTTTCAAGTTTAGTTATTTCACAATATTACTGTAAAGAAAAGAACACACTATTCGCTCCAGTTGTATTCATAAAATGAAATTAGTCTGCTACTTACACAGAGCTGCCATCTCTTTGGGAAGGTCCGCTCCAAATCGTCCAAATAGGCTGCCATTGGCCAGAAGATCAAAGGGGGAGTGGTTTCGCATTGAACTGAAGGCAAAAGGGTAGAACCCTGTCATATGACTCATAGGCCTCTCCCTATTGGTTGCCATTTTGATGATGGCAGTCCTCCAGTGTCTAAAGACTGTCCTATGGTCCTTTCGTTGAGATGGTAAATTACCACTTCTCTATCTTTTCACTTCGACACTTTTTATTACTAAGCTGTGTGCAACAATCGTAAATCCATTATAAACATTTGCGCAGCACTGAATGGAAGGTGATCTCAGCAAGTGATCCAGAATTGATGCACAGTAATCCAACAGATGCCTGCAAAAAAACACAAGAGGAAAAAAATAGCATTTAAAAATTATTTGACCCCTATGCACTATTAACAACAGTTTAGCACAAGAAGTCAGACCAATGCTTTCTCATAAAATGAGTCAGGATCCAACTGGTGAGGCAACGTCAGAGAGAAGAACGCTATCAACATATAAAGAAGAATAATTCAGAATTTGAACTGTCTACATCTGACAGCTATGAGATCACTATCTTCTTTTTTCAGAGTAAAAAATAGAAATTTGTCCATAAAATATACCATCTACAGTTGCGCCTTAATTTACTTATTTTTTGCTCAGTCTTTACGCACTAAGTAATGTGCATTTGATGTTGCAATGTAAAGGATGTCTGGGGAAAAAAACAAAAAAACAAAATCAGATCTGACCATTCAGATTTCCAAGAACCGGAATTGCAATCTGATTTCAGACCACATATGAATGTGGTTTGGACTGGGTTTGTAAAAGCCAGATTTCATGTGGTTTTCTGCTGTTAGGTCTGTAAACAACTAAATGGGTTTGAGCTGGATAAGCCAAAAAAAAAGAAAAACAAAAATGCTGCCTGTCTGAGCAAAGAACATTTTACAAATAATCTAGCCTGAATTGGTGAACAGTTTAGCCAGGTCCGCCAATTCAGTTTCACGTACATTTCACGTAAATGGCATGCTTTTAAGAAGTGACAAGCAACCACTGAAACTCTGAGTTCTAATCATTTTGCGTGCATATTTCTCCAGGTAAGACATTTTACCTTGAAGACATCTGAGATATAAAAGACACAGCATCATAATCAAACAGTCATGACGCCATTTGCTTTAGTGAGAACCACTGTGAAAGAAATTGAGATCCAACAAACAGATGAAATGAGGGGGAGAAACAGAGCGAGGCTCTTGTTGGGGCATTCATTTGAACGGCCTCCAAGCCATGAAGTGATTCCAGGCGATGCCATATGATTTAAATCAGAGACACAGCTCAATAAAGCTGCCTCTGTTCTACTGCCACATGCCAAGGGTGGAGGGTACCCAGCGCTCGCTAACCCCCTCCTTCTGCCTCCATCAGGACTTGATGGAAAGTTCCAGAGCACAAACCCATAAATGGGTGAAGCTGACTTTCCATATCTTCATACAGATTACAAATACAAGTTTTCTCAACTGACACACATGACTGTAATGGATTGCATTTTTAAAGAATCGTGTTTACATTCGCTGTTTTGCACATTTTAAATGTATTATAGTAAGGAGTTTCCATTGGCATCTATTGTTTTCATTTCACAGGTACATTACCTGGTAACTTTTGCACTTTAGATTTGAATTAAGTCACGATTTATAAAGTTCACTCCTTTTAATCTACTTATAAGTGGACTATTCTCTCTCTGTCTTTGTCTGTCTCTTAGCCTGCATGGTTCTTTCTTTTAATTGCAGTCTGTTGCTCTGTAAGGCTGTGTTCATTTGGAGCAGGGCAGCAGTAAACTGTTCCACATGTGAGGACTGTGCAGAATGGCCATGTTTCAGAACGCATTAACAATCAATCTCACTCTAATCGTGCACACACAAACACTGAACTACATTCAAATACACCGCACTGTCCCGTGTACTTACTGACTGACATGTATATGACCTTTTTTATTTTATTTTATTTTATTTTATTTTATTTTAAGCCCCAAATTCCCCAGAACTGAATTCCTTATATCTTCTTCATCCCTCCCTTTTTGACTCGCTGTCCTTTGAAAATCCCCCTTCTTGACATGTTTTCGTCTTCAGCGGTTTCTTCATCTCATTCAAGATGACAGTTTTCAAGATGTTTTCAACAAAACGCCGAGAAGAACAATAAAAAAAGAAGCAGAACAGGATGAAAGAAAACAATGAAGATGTGTTTTTTGAAAAAAGCAGAAAAATGCAAGGTGAAAAAGAAAAGAAACGTTATAGGACTTTGCATGCAAAAGCTTTGTATGGAAATGTATTAGGAGTACAGAAAATCAAACAGAATCAGTATTAAGTACTTAGAAGTAAAAAGTGATCAAAATGAGAACAAAAGAGTAAACAAAAGTGGAAAATGCAAAGCCAGGAATGAAACATTCCTCTATTGTGCAGTAGTTGCTCATTAATTAGACACACATTGGGCATAAGGAGAAGACTAGTGTGTGTGTGTGTGTGTGTGTGTGTGTTGGGGGG